TTACTTACAGAACAGAAATCATCGTTGTTGCCTAGGCTACACTGTTTTATGTTTAGTCTGAAAATGGGGGAATCAGATCATCTTACACATGATCCTTGGATGGTTTACAGTTCAGTTTATCCCTGCTTACAGACAAGGTTCCCACGGTTATGGAAAAAAAAACTGGGATCAGGGAATTTAAAAATGTATACATATATATATATATATATATATATATATATATGTAAACAATTTTTAGGCTTGGAAAAAAACTGTGAATCAAAGTTATCTAGTTACACTTGTCTCTAAAATATTCAATCTGCTAGAAATTGCTGTTTGTAAGGGCAAAAATCCTAGTCTAGAAATCATGCACAACTGGAAAAGTTAGGAAAATTTCATGTGAAAAGATGTGTGAGAGGTCAGAGTTTGTCATATCTATAATTTTGCCATAATAGAAATGCAAAAAGTATAAAAAATTTAATAAAATTAAGGAAATAAAATAAATAACATTTTTTTTTTTGTAATAATCGGGAGAATTTCTCTTATTTATCAGCCAGTATTGGATATTTAATTTTGGATGTTTGTTTTTTCATATATAGTGCTAAAAATAGTAAAAAAAACAAAATAAAAGTGTGAATATATAGTATGCATTTTACAGTGTAAGAGTGAACAATTATTTGCTATTGACGTTAAATTTTATTTTTGTTTTACTGTTCATTTCATTAGGGATTTTATTGCTTAGTTTTTGCTGCACTAGGATTTTTTTTGTATTCATTCGTAAAAACTTGTTTGGAGAAACAAACAAAATGTACAGTTTTGTTGAAGTTTACAGTTGAAATTTACATTAAATTTAATGCTTAAGTTTATAGTTTAAGAAGTTTAAGTTTTATCACATAGTTATTAAATTGAATGGGTAGTACCAGATTGAACTCTTTAAGAGCATTTTCTTATAGTAGAGAACTCGGCTTATTCATTTTATTAAACTTTCATGTCAAATTAAGTAGTTATCAATAATTCATACTGTACATTAATAATATCGTAATACCTAACATCAATCTATTGATTTAAGTTTTTAGTATTTTATTTCAATTCGTTTAGCTTGAGAATATGTAAATGAAACATATGCAAATTAGGGATGTAACGATTCACTCAACTCACGATTCGATTTGATTCATGATTTTTTTTTTTTTACAAAATGAGATTTAAGACAAATTATAAATTAAATGTGTCCTTTTATTATTGCTTGGACAAAATGCTGCACGTTTCTTTGTGAAATTGAAATATAACACTATAATAATATACTAATATAGCACTTGCATATTATTGCTCTTTTGTTGGTTTTGATTGCTTCTATTGTCCTCATTTGAAAGTCGCTTTGGATAAAAGCGTCTGCTAAATAACAAAATTTAAATATAGGCTAATGTAAATGTAAATAACAAAATCTAATTGAAATTTTAAAACAAGCTCCAAATCAAATAAGTAACACAAATAAAAAAATCTCTTCATATAAACAAAATAAGGCTTCGTCTGTGATGCAACATGAACTGTTTTTAATCTAAATTAGGTTGTATAATTTCGAAATTTGAAGCAAAAACAGAATGATTTGACTTCAGTTTTGTGAAACTATACATAAAAAATATCTGCATGAAACAGAAACAGCAGACGAGCTGAATGAGATGCAGATTCACTCTCTGCCAGCAGGTGGCGCTTAAAGCATTTCCTTGGTTTCCGCTGTAAACAAAGCAGCGCTGCACTTATGAACTTTAATATGCATTATACAGAGGCAAGATTAAAAGAAAAAATACCATCTAAACTTTTCTAAAGACAGTAAGTTCCCCTCAGACATGCATTCATATAAACTCCTACCCTTAATTGAATCGCGATTTGTTTGGCATCTCAACCGATCGTCACATATTTGAATCGATTTTCAACCGGCTCGTGGTTAATCGTTACATCCCTAATGCAAATACATTATACATTTTTAATTACATTTTAATTTTTAAATTTTTCCTTTTTACATTTGTAAACTGGATATTTAATAGGCTATTCTTTCTTGCATCTAAATTTAAAAACAGGTTGGACAGGTTTTAATGGGTGCATCCTTGAAAATTTTTATTATTAAAAGTATAAAAACTGCATAAGTATTTATCTGTAAGTTCCACAGTCTGTTTCTGTATTACATGATCTTAATTGGAGGAGGTGTGATATTTGTTTCTCTAAAAATGCTATAGATGGTGCTAAACACTTACACAAATACTCCTACATACGAATCATACATAGACTCTTACAGGAGTGTTTTCCAGACTTTATTTATTTATTAACATTTAATTAGTTTTTTATGTATTTATTTGATATATACTTGCAGTATATATATATATATATATATATATATATATATCTTGCAGTTACCGGCTCTGACCTCTAAGCTGCACCGCCCACAAATGCAATACGTGGTGTATTCATGAATTCATTTTTGCATGAATGTTTTTCCAGGTCTCCTGATGTGACGACAGACGAGCAGCCACCAGCTCTGCCCCCAAAACAGTCCAGAAGAGACCCTCTGACCCACAACGGCAGATCCCAGTCTCAGCACGAGCTGGCCGAGCACCTCAGCGAACTATACAATGTACCTGCGGCGTCAGGAAAGAGCATGGTGAGGACAACACTTTCTTACAAACATAAACGCTACATGTGTTTGTTCATCTCTCGTTCATCGTTTGATTCATTTGTTTTTTTCCTCAGAATGGAGCTGTGCCTCATGATAATCTTGTTCTGATTAAAATGAGGCCGGATGAAAACGGGCGATTTGGATTTAACGTTAAGGTGTGTTTTTGGTTACTCAACTACAGTTGCACTTTTTGGAAGCTGAAATCGAATATCATAAATCATAAAAAATTATCTTCATGTTGTTTCTGTATCTAGAATTTCTTAGATGTAGCAGATGACATAAAATGCGATTGTCTGCTGTTTAACGCTAACTTTTAATGATATTTGAAAATGTTTGTAATTTTACAAATAAAAATTGTTAAATTACAAATTTTTTATTATAATCAAATATCAGTGTTTATAATTATATGTTTAACATGATATATAATAATTAAAATTGTACAAAAATAAATAATAACAATATTTCATATTGTTTATATAAAATTGTATATTTTAAAATGACAGAAACCTTACTGTATATTTATTAAATAAAAAATGTAAGTCATAAAAAATATAATACTTTCAGTTTTAGATTATTTTATTAAATTA